CTTTGCACAAGTTATATATATATATATATATATATGATTATATATATATATATAATAAAAAAACAACATCTAAAACAGTTTTTTTATAAATTATACCTTTTATATGCAAATATGTGTGTGTATGTGTGTGTAAAGTATTTAATTATTTTTAACACGCGCATACACATAGATTCTTCCAAGTTTAATTCTTAACTTTGTAATTTAAAATAATATTAAATATAACTAAATTTTAAGTATTCAACTAAATTCCTTTATTTTGTTATTATTAGCTTCGAAAAAATACATCGGCCAAGAAGATCAACTTCATATTGCTTATCACAAACCAAAATACAATACTTTAATATGCAAACCAATACTCATCTATTCGTCTACTTTTATATACATCTGATGTGAAACCTCATCAAGTCTCTGAATAGAAAAATTGCTAATCACATATTATAACCAGTTGGCGGTAGTAAAAGTACTATATCCTTCTGCACGCGAAGATATAAGCGGAGCATAAAATATGTTTAGGCTTCAATATATCGCGTGTAACACCGACATATATGACGCCGAGGCTTTCATGATCTACAACATGATAAAAGCAATTACGGCCATCGTACGCGAATACTTATACCGTGATGAAATGACTAGAGATCGTCGCGGACATGTCAAAACATCAATCAACGTAAAATTCTATGCTACGAATATGCCTCTACTCAACTACTGTTATTACTTTACTAAATCCTTACATTAGCAAATTGTTTTAGCGAAAGTTCAGCGACCTTTCCGATCGTTAGTGTCAAAAACTTCTGTGATCTTACAATTATAAAGAGAATATCTCGATTCTGAATCGGATTCAATTCGTACCAAAGCGCTTCATACGCCGCATCGCCAATCATTTTGCTCTAAAATAAGTTTCATTATAAAACATGTCATATATTTTATATACATGTGTCATATTATTTACTGACTTTAGTACTCAGATATTCTCCAAGAAAGCAAACTATAAATGCCTCCATATTGACTAGAATGTAAAAGAATACGGATTTTACTAGCATAGGCGATCCATCCGGAACACCAATAGACTAAAAATTTTAAATAACTTATGTTTTTTGAACAAGTTATGTTATTTCACGTGTACTTACGGTCACGATGACAAATCCTAGGGAACAGAGGACTAAAGTAATTGACACGAATTGTATTAGCGCTATGTTTGAGAAAAGAGTCTCAATATTTTTGGAGAAGGAAATAATTTTTTGATGCCGAATAATCAGTATTTTTGCGATATCGTTCATATGTTGCTTGGTGTTCTTCCGTGTAATTTCACTCAGTTTCTGCCGCAATATATCAATCTGTCCACATGCATGAAGAACCTAAATGTTATAATCAAATTCAATTTAATATCAGGTATGTACAATAAAAATACTTTTTTTGTTCTATATTCAATATTAAATGAATCTAATTTTTGATTCTTATTAGGAACATTTAAGTTTCTATGTATAAAAAAATTAAATAATAAAATTTTAATGTATTAATAATTATTGCGTTTTTATTTTCTTTTCCTTAATATATCTATTACATATTTTTAATAACTTAGCAAATGGAACAAATACTTTATTTATTAAGCATTTTATATAACTACTTATTTTTTAAACAAAATCATAATGCATTTTTCATTTAATAATGTATTTTATACAATAATAAATCTGTTTAATTATTTTTAGGATTACTTAAGTCCTTAAATTATCTTCTTTGCGTTCTTTTTCTTTATAATTCTAGAAAAATCATGAAAAGATATTCAAACTTACCAATGTTAGTAGCAAGCAATTTAGCACAGCCAACATACTGGCAGCGCTTACCTGATGAACGAACTGCGTAATGAGAACGGTAAAATATACTGATGTGGTTTCGATCTCGAAAGGTAATTCCATCTTGAGAATGAGCTCTCGAGCATCAGTTTGATTGCTGTTTCTGTGCGCCAACAAAGTGCCCATCGCATAGAAGAATACCGATACTGCGTGCGAACAAATTATCAAATTGGAAAACCAGCGAGAGACATAAGCCATTCTATTCATCGTGTATTCTTCAGAAACATCACGCTTTTTCCAATCCTCGACTACATGTGCTATCATATGATCCAGCAGACTATAATAAATTATTCAAAAAAATATTGACCGACATGAAATCGCAGCTATTTGCGAAATATTACTCCAGAGAAATATATAAATCAATGCAAATTTACAAAATTTAAATAGATTAAAAATCGAACATTTTTTCTTCTTGCGATTAGCTTGAGATCTAGAATAGAGGATCTAAGTGCTTATTTTGTGATCGTACTGATTTTATAACACCGTTTTATAACACCGATTTTAGTACACCGTAAGAACCTTACCGAACGTTGAATATGATAATAATCAGTTTGACAAACAGAAGACTATAAGTCAAAGTTGCGCTTATCACATCCATGAGAAGGAAAATATTGCTCTCACCGAAGTGCATGATCAAGTACCAATATTGAAAGGTCTGAAATATTGCCATCGAAGATATGCAACATACTCTGCGGGAAATTGCACACGATGTATCCGGCCATACACCGATCATGCGAAGACCAAACTCCACGGAGCGACATATGGTATTCGCTGATTTTATTTCGTTATTCATTGATATCAAATAAATTTGTTTTACGACACGATCATCAACGTAGTTTATCACTAACACTAATCCTTTTTCCTCTGATTACATTATAAATGAGTATATAATTCAGAAGAAAATATCAATTTCTTAACGTAATAGCATATATAGTTCAAATAATAAGTACGACACAGCCTAAAATTTTTCACTAAAATTGCAATACTGACGAAACGTTCGATTTCAAAGTTAACGGACAAAGAAAATTCTCAAGTACAACATAGTCAATAGTCTTAACTTGACTTTGTCTTTAGATATGATTACTCGAAAGGTTTCAGTGGAACTGTAAGAGTCTAATGCTAGAATGCTAAAATCTAATTCAGCATTCAAGTAACCCCCACCTTGGTTGTAGCCAACCAATGAAAATTGTTCACATTCTACTTCTTTTTATCTCAGAAGTCACAAGGAAAAATTATAAGTCGATATTTCCATAATTGCAGTGGTTACAAAAAATGCAGATAAAGACAGCTGCAAAGTTTTCTATATACTCTTCTCTTCCCTTGATTGCTGTACGTTATTTATATTAAAAATGTAAAGCAAATGTTCATTATCATGTACCGATACTAAAAGACTTGATCAACATCATCATCCAGCAAAATTTAAATAACACGATAGAGATGATATACCCGATCGAATAATGTGAACGTATTGACTGAATCGAATTAAAACTGTTTAGTTGTAACAAATGTTTTAAAGATTATAATCATATCAAAATACTTTTATCACAGATTAACAACTGAATGTAATTCTGTCTTATTAATTGTTTAATATTTGTTAATTATAAACAGAAGAGCGTTCTGTTTTCGCTTACAGCGCTTCTTAAGTATAATTTCTTCTTTTAATATTTTCTCTTTTTAATTTAAAACTTGATAAACAACAAGGATGAACTGATGCTTACAACATGAAAATGAAATGTAACCTATAAGTTATGGTTGAGCTTATCATTTATAAACAAAAAAATATTGCTGGTCCGAAGTGCATGATCAAGTACAAATATTAAAAAATTAGAAATATCAAAATATTGAAATATATATGTATATAAAATTAAATACATTAAATGTATATTTATTTTATACTACGCAAAATTGCAATTATAATGGATAACGAACATATACAGGATCGTCCCCTTCGTCTATCAAATTAGCGATCACACTGCAACAAATGCACGTTTTCTTTAAAAATGCAGTGAGGTGAATAAAACAAGAATTCCAAGAACTGCTCACTGTGAAGTTGAAACATACTACTGGGGGAACATATCGGAGGGATTTGTAAGGAGGAAACAAAGACGTACCTTCGGTGCGATAAAAAAACCAGAGAGAAGATTACATTTAGTATTATTGGTGATTCCGAGAAGATGTTGTAAGCTAGAGCATATAGCAGTTCTGCAAGCTGGAGCATGTAATGAAGAAAAAGACATCTTGACAAATAATATTTTGTAATGAAAATAAATTCATAATATTGTAACAACATTTTTGTACAATAGTTTTTACATAACATCAACTCATCTTTAATCAGCAGCTCAAGACTCTTAAACAAAGAAATTTTTATTAATTGATACTTATATTACAAATAAAAACATATACAATATAAAAAATACATTAAATAAGTGTGTATTTAATTCTTAGTCACAAAACATTATTTTATTATATAATTAATTTTATTTGAGAAAATTTAATATAGAATAAAAAGGGTAACAGCTTTTGTAATATCTTTACATGTATACATGCATTAACATACTTTCATATCTATCTCATGAAAATATATATTTTTATATGTTTCAAATTAATTATACACGAATATAGAAATAAATTATTAGAAAAATAAATATCTTACAAATGTTATTCTAATTAGTATTAAAATTAGTGTAAAAATTTAATCTTAATTAATATAAAAATCTTAATTTGAAAATATTAAGTTAAATTTCTGTTTTAAAAAAATGCTTTTTTTTTTATTTTATCAGATCTGGCAAAGTACATCGACCAAGAGAATCAATATCGTATTTACAATTTTTTTCTTATGCACTCCAAATCAAGTACAATTACCAATCACCAATCGATGTTTCAGTAAATAATTTTCTTGTTCTCTCTCTATTTGCGTACACTCGATGCAAAACTGTGTCGAGTGCATAGGAAAATAACCAATCGTGTAAAAGTACTATAGAGATCTGCATGCAAAGATATAAGCGACGTACAAAGTATATTTAGACCTCAATACATTGCGTGCAACACCGACACGTATGACGCTGAAGCTTTAAGGATCTACAACATAATAGAAGCTATTATAGTTATCATACAGGAATGTCATTAGGATTCAACGATTAAAACATAATTATCAAGATTATATTCATGATAACTTTCTGCATAAAAATGTAGTTTTTTATCATTTCCATTAACTTTGCTAAATTCTTACGTTGGCAAATTGTCTCAAAGAAAGTTCCATAACTTTTCCTATCGTGAGCGTCAAGTGCTGTTGGGATCTTATGATCATAATATAGATGTCTCGATTTTGACTAGGACTCAATTCATACCAAAATGATTCGTACGCCGAGTCGCCAATCATTTCACTCTAAAATATACAATCATATATCTTTGTCATAGAGAATATCGTATCAAATATTGTATATTTTATGTAATACATTTTATACGGACTTTTGTGCTCAGATGTTGTCCGACAAAGCAATATATAAATGCTTCTAAGCTCATAACAAAATAAAAGAACACGGACTTAACTAACATCATTGATCCGCCTGGGGTACCGATAGACTGAAATTTCATATATTACTTTATATTTGAAAAAATTAATATTATTTTAGTATACTTACAATCACGATAAGAAATCCTAGACAACAGATAACCAGAGTATTTGATACAAATTGTACCAGTGCAATATTGGAATAAAGATCCTCGATGTTTTTGGAGAAGGTGATAATTTGTTGATGTCGAACGATCAGATCTTTTACGACGTTTTCGTTCACACCCTGCTCGATGTTCTTCTGCTCGATGTTCTTCTGCGTAATTTCACTTAATTTCTGCCGCATTATATCAATCTGCCCACACACGTGAAGAACCTAAACAAATGTCACGTATTTTCAGCCCAATGTAATGTTTCAATCTGGATTCGACAAATGCTGGATTCAACGAATGAAACAAATACGAAAGAACAGCTTATTTCAATAAGTGTGAATTAATGACGATTGTGTTTATTTGGTCTGAATCAAAATTAATATTTAAAATTAAGATTAAAAAAATGTATTTTCCGCTTATATAAGTTTATTTCACAAACTATTATTTTTGTATAATTATTATCTGTTTTTACTAAATATATACATAAAACGTTTTAGCAACCTTTTGTCTGAAAATTATTATACATCATAATTATTTTCAGTTCCAGGAATATAGACAAATCATGAACAAATACTCAAACTTACCAGTATTATTAGCAAGGAATTTATTACACCCACCATACCAGCCGCACTCGTCTGATGAATAAATTGACTAACAAGGACAGCTACGTGTACTGATGTGCTCTCAATTTTAAAAGGTATCTCCATTTTGATAATCAGCTCTCGAACATCAGTTTGATTTTCATTTTTAATGTTCATTATTGTGCCTATCGCGTAGAGGAAAACTGACATCATATGCGAGCAAATTATAATGTTGGAGACCCAACGAGATACATAAGCTATTCTAGTCATCGTGTACTCATCCGAAATATCGCATTCCTTCCAATCTTTGATCATACATGTTATGATTTCATTCAGCAGACTATAAAAGATTGTTTAAAGAAATGTGACCAATATAATTGTGACCAATATGCATAAAAATACAGAGAAGTCCTTATTCTGTCGTTATATTAATGTTACATAAATTAATAATAAATTTAAATAAATAAAAAATATCTTTTTAATCTGATTTATGACTTGAAAACTAAAATAGAAAATATGAGAAGTGTTTATGAATTACATTTAATTCTGTGCTCAATATATGTTACTTTGAAGAAGCCTTACCGAGAATTAAATGCAAAAATAAGCATTTTGATAAGCAAAAGGGTATAAGCAAAAGTTACGCTTAGTGCATCCATGAGAATCATTAAATCCTCCTCTTCAAAATGCACGATTACGTGTTGATATTGAAAGATTTGAAATACGATCATTGATGATATGCTGAGGACTTTAAGTAAAATTGCGCACGACGTGCCCGGCCATATACCTATCATACGAAGACCGTATTGCACAGACCAGCACACAATATTCGTCGAATCTATCTCGTTCTCCATCAAGCTCAAAGACATTTCTTCAAACGGATGATACGGTAAGTTATCTAATTTTCTATCTACATTATAGATAAGACTATAATGTAGAAAATCTCGATTTACTAACAGATTATTTATCCCAATTTCAAATCAGTACAATTCAAATATTTTCCGCTAGAACTACAAGGAGATTGAAGAAACGTTGAATTTCAGAGTGTCATAGATTGGAAGAAGAAATTTTCGACTTTGGCATGATCCCAATTCTAAGTCAATTGTCAGATATAGTCGAACGAGAAGTCTCAGTGGAACTACTACTCATTGTCAGAAAAATTCTACACTCGAGTAATTCCATCTTGATCGTGCACGAGACAATAATTATTCATTGCTTATTTCATGTCATATTTTTTCTTTCATCTTAGAAGTCATGAATAAAAATTATAGAATAATTCTATAATAATTACAAAAAAAATGGGCATGCGTACCCACGAAAGCGTCTAACATATCCCAGTATATACATCACTCAGTCGCTGTTCGTTATTTGCATTAAAAATGCAAGACGAATGTACGTGCGCTGGACACACGTGAGTATTAGATGTGTGCGTAGAATACTTAAAACTTTTAAATACCAAGAAACAAAGAGCAGGAATTGTGGAAATTCATAAGGATAAATCGAAAGCGAGGGTGAAAGTTTGCGATGATAAGGAAAAGATGTTGAGCATAGAAACGTTTATCCATAAAAAATACAACGCTGTTATTGAATCGAATAAGATATATTAATGTATTTTTACATAAGGGCATTCATGTTCGTGGAAAGCTAATGAGTTACTAGAATTCGCGAGATATCGCGTTTCTTATAACACAATAGCTACATAAACATACAAAAAGTATTGCCTTTTCTATACATGGTTTTCAAGACATAGCATGCAGCACGGATACATAAGACGCTGATGCCTTAATAATCTAGAAAAAAGAAGGTAGAACTCGTATTTTATGTGGCAGCTAGTAAAACGCTATACTTTTATCGATACAACTATTATAAAAATTTACTAAAATAAACAAGATAAGAATATATTATCTTTTATATATACAAAAATATATTGCCTCCTATTAATTTATAAGTTAAATTTAAAATTGACAACGCGTTTCCTTTAAAAGTACGTACAATCTACGTCAGATATATGAAAAACGTTCTGAAAGCAAATCTTACTGTTGTAAAACGTTCTAGGGAGAGCTCCATAAATTTTCCGATCGTAATAGTTAATTTTCTTTGTGATCTTAAAATTAGCAATAATAAAATACGACTCTGCGTGGGATTTAATTTGTACCACTTAGTTTCGTACGCTGCATTGCCGATCATTCTGCCCTGCAATTGAATGAGTAATTAAAGTTTTAGAATTGTGATAAAATAAAATATATCGCATAAGTATGACATTACTATTCTATATAATCTTCATTGATATATTTTTTGAAATACATTTTTTCAATAATGATTTAATATTAAAGAATAATCTACATGACAATAAAATTATACGCAGAAAGTTATACGAAATTTATAACTGACAAAAAATTACATATATTCATAAATATATAAATATATCAAATTTGACATAATATTATATACAATATTATAAGAAAAATTATATGCATATATTGATACATACAATTTTTTTAATAATAACTATACCAAGCTTTTGTATTGCGCTATTTATTTATAATTATAAATAAAAAGAATTTGTAAAAATAATATTTATAACTGCATCGTTCTGACCTTGGCACTAAGATATTCTCCAGCATAACAAAATATGAATGCCTCCAAAGTGATGACAACGTAAAAAAAGAGGGATTTAATCAACATTGTCGATCCTTGCGTTTCGCCGATCGACTGTAACATAATCGGAAATAATACCAAACCTAAAACGCTCTGAATAACCAATAAAATAAAAGTACTAAAATCCACACTTGAATGCCATTATTTATTTCGGATTTATTTTGAATCTATATCTTTGTATGAGATATTCTGTTTTATTACATATCGATAAGCGGAATTAAAAATAAAAATGTTTCATATAACGATAATAATTTAATGTTACTGCGTATGTATTAACTGCGTATATATTTAACTTTATAAAGCTTCACTTACAGTCACAATTAGAAATCCGAGACAGCAGATGACCAAAGTGTTCCACAGGAATTGCATCAGAGCTATATATGAAAAAAGAGTCTCAATGTCGGCTGAGAGTGCGATAATTCTTTGATGTCGACGTATTAGAGCTTTGATGGTCGAGGTTTGCAAGTCGAATGTATCGTCTGAAGAGATTTCTACCAACCCTCGGCACATTATATCGATTTGCCCACCTACGTGAAGAATCTAAAAATAACGGTCAACGCCCTGCAATATGTTCTCGATATTGCCACTATTCAGTGTAGAGAAAACAACTTGTGAATATATTCATCAATAAGGAAAGTAACAGCAGATAAGAGCAAAATCTATATATATTACACATTAGATTTAAATCTTATACTTAATAATTAAATAGTTAATAATTAATATTATATTAATAATATAAAAATATACAATATAATATTAATTACAATTTTATTTTATTAAAGATATTTTATAAGCATTTTAATAAAAAAAATTATATATCGCTTTGGGTGATATTACATAAAATTTATTATGAAAGAATAGAGGAATTAACGGCAAAAATATAGAGACATTTAAAATTCCATATTATCATTTATCGATCAAATTCACCAGAACGCTTTTCATTTCGCATAAATAAAGTAAATGAAATAAGTTATTAATCACGTGGATAATACAGAATACTCGTTATCTCGAACAATGCGGCGCGCGAGAGAATCAATCGAAATTATTTTATTATTCTACTAACAATAAGCTACTTATATAAATTGCACATCTCCATTACGTAATATAATTGTACATTTAGCGCAATATGTATCAATTTAATTGTAAATGCTTTAGAATTAGAATCTAATCTAAGCTGTGTTCCAAAATTTACTCCCAGTACTGAAAATCTATAGTTTACGTCACGTGCTCTATAGATTTTCATTACTGGCAGTAAATTTTGGAACACAGCCCTACTTGTTTTCGTTCTTTTTTTAACAAGTATAAAATAAAAAAAAATTTTCTTTTACATCTTTTCTTCTAAAAATGATTTAACGCAACTCATAAAGCAACGTTAATCAAATATTATTTTATTGTCAATGAGATTTGTACTGATCCAAAACTTAGACCTTATAACTTATCTTATTGTTCTCTTTGTCATCTTAGCTTATATTCACTTACCAGTGAGACAATTAAGGCATTAATTACACCGACTATTGTGGCTGCTGAGAGCTGATGGAAAAACTGCGTGATCATTACGAGCTCGTACGTAGGGGAGGCATTGGACTCGAAGGGTAGTTCCATCTTAAGAAACAATTCTCGTGTCTGCACGGCAAGTTGCTCGTCGGACTCGTCAGGGTGAGCAACGAGTACGCCAGTACCGTAAATAAACACTGACATCGAATAAAGGCCAATGATCAAGTTGGAAGACCGATGCGACACATCGGTTGTCCTTGACATTGAGTAGATAGCCCACTCGGTCACGCACTCGCTCCGATCCTGGGACATCATTGCCAGGATGTCGTAGAATATCCTGTGGGAAACTTGGAGACTTACCTTTTGAGCTCGCTTATAATTATAAAAGAATGTAACAATCTTTTACTTTCTTTACGTACTTTAAATCATGTTGCATGTATAACGATTAAATATTATACAAATCTGCGAAAATCTGTCTTTATTTGATCTCTCTCTCTCTCTCTCTCTCTCTCTCTCTGGCATATTTTTTTTGTATACAGAACTAATTTTTCATTTTATTAAAAAAAAAATACCAAATCAATTTGAACTCGATTCTTAAATGCATGGAAAGATTGCGTTCATTTCGCGACTTAGATAAGCGAAGCTCACCGTCGATTGATCCAAAATATTGTAAGTTTCAATAGTAGAAGGCTATAGGACATCGTAGTGCTAAGACCATCCATCAGATGCGAGAGATCGTCCGTGCGAACGTGTATAAGGAAATATCGATACTGAAAGGTCTGCGCCATCGTAAAAGTGATCATCCAAAAGGCGCGACGGAGGATCGCGAAGGACGAATTGGGCCAAACGCCAATCACGCGAAGACCGATCTCGATTGAACGACTAACAGTGCCGCCGAGGATCTTCAAGGAAGCGGTCTTCGAGTTCATTTTCGGAGTGCTGTCTTTGAATAGTATTTTCGACCGGGATGCCTCCTTACATCGATACCACCTTGAAACTTCGCTATTTCGTCGAAAATCCAACCATGTACTTCGTGTAGCGATGTTGAACACATGGATGAGCACGGGGGATAAACGCGGATGAACACGGAAGAATCGCTGCGCACTACCAATCCCCCACCTCGAACCAATAAAAAGTACTGATAAGATATTCCCATCGCGACGGAAAAATTGCCAGATAAGGTCGGTTGCAACAGTCAGGTAAGATAAGTGCGGGTATAGATAACAAGGGGAAAAAATGAATAAGGGTTGCAGAGAGAGAGTGCATTGTCTCCGGAATTACCCTGAACCTTAAAAATTCAGGAACCGTGTGCAATCGGGCGCAAAACTCTGGGGAGATCGTGTAGAATAATGGTCGGTTAGATCAAGAAGCTTTAAATCGCTAAAATGTAGAAAACAACCACGAGAGGCATGGTAAGGGAAATTACATAAATTGCTACGTCCGGATTGGACGTCCATACCGAGGGGAAAAAATAATTATTCACATGAGGTATACTTACTGCTACTACGAGCTGTAATACACGGATGGCAGTGAGTGAACAAAGAGAGCGTAAAAGAAATTGGAATCTTTGTATATAAATTTAAAATATCAAAATTTAAATTATTTATGATATTTTTAATTGTATGAAATATGAACGTATAAAATTATTTAGCAAAACTTGGATTCTCTCATCGATGCAAAGTAAGAATATAAATAATTTAAAATATAAAGAGAAAATAAATGGTGTTGGAAATGTTTTTTTACACATTTTAAGATTTAAAAATACATAATTTAAAAATCGAAAAGAGACCTCTGGAGAGGTTTATTACTATTTCTCTATCAAAAAGATTAATTTTTATTTAGTTATTTGTTTATTTTTATTAATTGGCTGTGTTATTCTTTATTTATTTATTTCTACATTTTTTATAAAATATATTTTTTTTTCTGTATATTTATTGTATTATAGAATAGACTTCTTTTTAGCTATACGTAATTTTATACTTGTTATGAAAAGAAAGAAAGAAAAATAGAAATAAAAAAGTAATCGTATCATCGAATTATATCTTAAGGCTTATCCTCACTGAAGCCGATCGTATCGGTTGACATATTGATTTCTTCTTCTTTTCTATAAAAGTAAAAGAATAAACCAGTATGCCGATTGACTTCAGAGTAAGTCTTAACAAAAGTAGAAAAGACAAATATTGCACGAACTACACAATGAACACAGCACAAAAACTGTTTCATTATGGATAAAAAAATATAAAAAAGTTTAAAATTTTAAAGGATCACAAAAAAAATAATACAGAAAAACTATAAGAAAAACTACAGTGCAACAAAATGAAGAAAATCATTTGATTTATAACTGCAAATTCTTTTGCTGCTGCAACAGAACTGCATAATGATAATTTTCCAATTTTTGAAAACACAGTAAGACGTCGATTAAAAGCTGCTAAAATTCGTTTATGTACACCCGTAAAGATAATTGCATTTATAAAGGCTTATCGACAAACAAACAAAAATTGAATTTGCTATACAACATTATACTTCACAAGAAGTACATTTAAGAAGTTAAACGTTATAATATTGTATCATGGGTAGAGATAAAAAAGTATTTTCTTCAGCAGAAGATGAACGATATAGAATGCGTTCCACATAGCACTCGCAACGCTCGCGAGTATCATTTTTCCTTATTTAAGATTTGATAAACAACAAGAATGGAATGATTCCATGAGCGTTTTAAGCGTTAAATGGAGATCATATTCTAAATAGCGTTAAAATGGAGCATTTAAATGGGGAACATATTCTAAATTCGAAATATAAGATTTATTCTGGATATAATAGAAGAATTTTATTAAGATTTTGAGAAAGCACATCCACCGGATTTTCAAATATTGTAAAAACTATTACATATAAATATTGAAGAATATGTGGAAATAAAAAAGAATATATGGAAAGAAATATTGAAGATTGAGTTATACAAGACAAATATATCTCTTGGAACAATATCCGATTGTTAAAGATTGGACAAGACAAAAGTTCTGTGCATTCCTCAAATTTGATTTGAAAATAATTTCATGCCGATTTTATGCAGAAATTTGAAAATAATTTCATGCCGAAATTAATGCATTGACCGGTAAAATTTGTTGATTTAAATTTGATTAAAAATGGCCATATATTCTTGGTTGACATATTTTCTTAAACATTAAAATTAAAATTTGCCTGATAATTTAAAGATTTCTCAAATATACAGCTAATATACATATAGATATTAATACATATTAAATGCATGATCCGTTTTACTATGTATTTATACACAATGAGTAAATATCTGGTTAAAAAAGCTACGTTTTTTAATATTTAATGTAAAAATTATCTTTCTGGAATATTTGTTGCATCTTAACATTAAATTTATCTATGTAGTCAGAACTTGATGATAATTATTTTATACTTGATACATAATCCTTCAATGCTTCTTTAGTTCGTAGCTCATCAGTTATTCAGAATGTTTTTATCTTACTTCACACATATCTTATCAGATTTAATTTAGGAGATTTTGTAGGTTTCGAGTAAATATATTTTTAGTTATTGGCGAGCATCACTATTATTTTAGAACTACAATAAATCATATGTTGATGTCAATACATAGCATTCAAGATAGATGATATATAATACCGACATCTTCAAAATCTGAAAAATATAAATAAAAAATTAAGTTAAAGCTATAAATTATATTTATAAATTTATATTAATAAATAATAACAGACACATATATTGTAGCAGATTGCAAAAGTAATAGGTAAAATAAAATTATTCCGTAAAATAATTAAATATTAAAAAGTTTTAAAAAATAATATACATAAATGATATATCCATTAATTTTTTTTTGTTTGATAGTGATTTCTCATTATTATAAACATTATATACATTTATTTTTATATAACAACATATCATATATATCATTCATACATTGCATTGGCGATTTTACTGTAAAAGCAATGCAAATGCGATGACTCTTTTTGCATTTATATTTAAATGTTTAATTTATTTCACAGACCTTGGGAATTTGTTGTGATAAAAATGCCAATTGCACAGTTGCTGTTGATAGTTCCGAGAAGATGTTGCAGATTACGTGACAAGAAAAAAGCATCTCGGCGAAATGATATTTTCTTGTAATGACTTAAACTTCATTTTGATGATGAGTTCTCGAGCATCGATTTGATTTTCATTTTTGATCTTTATTATTGTGCCTATAGCATAGAGAAATACTGACATTATATGCGAGCAAATTAGACCCAACGAGATACGTAAGCTATTCTGATCATTATGTACTCATCCAAAATATCGCATTCCTTCAAATCTTTCATGTTATAATTTTGTTCAGCAGACTATAAGGGATTATTTAAAGAAATATTTATGGTTGCATAAAGACACAGAGATTTTTTTATTTTATCTTTATGTTAAACATAAATTAATATTAAATTTATAGAAATAAAGAAAATCTTTTTAATGTAATTTATAACCTAAGAATGAAGAGGTGAGACATATTTACGAATTGCATGATTGTGTGCTCGGTATATGTCGTGAAAAAGCCATACCGCGTATTAAACGCGAAAAAATTATTTTGATAAGCACAAGGGAATAAGCAAAAGTTAAGTTTATTGCGTCTACAAGATTCATTAAATCTTTTTTGTCAAGATGCACAATCATATATTTGCACTGAAAGATTTAAAACGCGATTGCTGATATACTGAGAACTTTAAATAAAATTGCATACAATGTATCCGGCCATACATCAATTATACGAAAACCGTATTGCAGACCGGCACACGGTATTCATCGAATTTATTTCAGTCTTCATCAAGCTTGAAAACAATTCTTTATAGGGATAACACGATAAATTGTTACTAATTCTCTTATATTATAAATAAAAGTATAATGCAGAAGGCCTCGATTTACTAACTTTGGATTATTTAATTCATATAGAGATTGGTTCAATTCAAATACTTTTCGCTAAAACAACAAGATTAAAAAAACTTTGGATTTCAGATTGTCATAGATTGGAAGAAGAAATTTCCGATTGCGGTGATCGAAGTCTTAAGTCACTTCTGGGATATGGTTGATTGAAAAATCTCAGTAAAACTGTAAAATTTTAAAAATTCAGCGCACAGTTCGACTGTGTAAGCGATAGTAATTATTTTTTGCTTATTTTATGTTTTATTTTTTATTCTTAGAAGTCATAAAAGCTATAAAACGATGCTTTCATAATTACAAAAAGAAAGTGGCAAATGCAATCACGGAAACATCCAATATACTTTTGTATGTGCAGTCATCCGTTATTTGAATTAAAAATGCAAGAAAAATGTACGTGTGCTGAACATACGTGATCAAATGTGTAGAACTTAATACTATTAAATATGTCGAGAAAAAATATAGAGCAGCAATTGTGGAAGATAAATTCATAAAGGTAAATTGAAAACAAGGCTAAAAATTTGCGATGATGTAAAAGAAGGATATTGAGCAGTGCACGACACATTTATCTGTAAAAAGTACAATAACACTATTATTAAATGAGATACTTTTTTTTATGTACTTTTACATGAAAACAGATATTATTAGTCAGATGGAATACTTAAAAAATTCTAGTTTTTAAAGATTAATAATTTATATTATAAATAAAAAAAATTATTAAATGTAAACATATTATTTCTATGTTCTAAATTGTTTTGCTTAAAGGTTATTATCTAAAAAGTATTTAGATAAACTAACTTATAATTTTATCTTTTATTTAGATAATTTTAAAATAAAATCACTTTTATCTTATCTTAGATATGTAATTTATGTGCAATTTATCTCATCTTTATCTAGATAATTTTTAGTTATCTAAGCGTAATGCTATACATATGGAAAGTTATACGTGAGAAGAGAGCCTTAATGTCGGAGGGTATAGATAGATGAAAGGAAAAAAGCGAGCAGGGGAAGTGGACATTGTGTGTGTGTGTGTGTGTGTGTGTGTGTGTGTGTGTGTGTCTCTGGGATTACTTGAACCTTATAAATTCAGGAACCATGTGCGAGCGGTGAGGAAAGTTAAATTGCTACGTTGGGATTGAACACAAATACCGAGGGAAAAAATAATTATTCGCAGCGGTATACCTATTGTTATTATGAGCAAGTAAGTCACACAATAAGTGAACATAAATGAAAAAACAAAATTGGAACTTTGCATTTATGTTTTATTGAAATTTGAAATATACACAATTTTCTGAAGTGTAATAAATATAAACGTCTAAAATTTAATGAAGTTTGAACTCTATTGTCGATATGAAGTAAGAGAATGTAAATAATTTATTAAAATATAGAGAGAAAATAAATAATATGAAAATGCTTTTACATATTTTAAAAGTCCTAAAAATTTCTGAAACAACTTATTACAATTATATTGTCCAAAAAATGTATTTTTATTTAGTTAGTTATTTCTTGTTATTAATTGCGTTATTTTTTAATTATGTTATTTTTTTATTAATTTATTTATTTTTAGATTTTTTATATATTATATTCACTTTTTCGTATATTTAATAAAACAGATTTCGTTTCAACTATATGTAATGCTACACTTGCTACTGTCCCATTCGCCGGTAATCACGATGGATACACTTGGCACAAATAATTGTTATCCACTAGCCTTGTTTAATACATCGCATGCAACACTGACATATACGAAGCTGATGCTTTCATTACCTAGTTGAAGAGAAATAATAAATTTTATTCACGTAATAAATCAGATATTATTTTCTATTTTGTCTTAAAAAACATTAAATATTTTAATGTTTTATCTCGTTATATATTCGCAATTTAAAATTCTCACACTCGTAAATCCTTCTAAAGAAAGATCCATAACATTTCCAGCTGTAATCGTCAATCTCTTCTGCGACCTTAATATCACAAATAACAAAATCCGACATTCGGCAGGTGTCATGTTATACCATAGCGCCTCGTAAACTGCATCGCCAACCGATTTGCTCTAAAATTGAGAATGGTGTACAAATTTAAAAAAAATTTATCAATTTATCAGGGCATGTTATAGAATTATTCAAAATGAATTCTAATCGGAGTTATTTTTTCTAGAAAACACAACAAAAATTTAGGAAATAATTAAATTCCGATCAAAGAATCTATTTCTTTTATATAATTCCATAACGTACTCTGAATTCAATTTCAAGTTTAACCCATATTTTTCGAACATTCAAGAAACATATATACGTAAATACATATTAAACTGATAAAGCTTGATAAATTGTACTACAGAAGAAGCGAAAAAGTTTGAAAATTGATTACCAGTGACTCAAAAAAGTAAAATAGAATATTACACATATAATATAAAATACTGTGCAAACCTTGGCACTGAGGTATTCTCCCGCGAAACAAAAGATAAAAGCTTCTAACGTTACGGCGACGTAAAAAATAGCGGATTTCAAAATTACCACTGTGGCTCCATCCCTAACAAGAGTCTAGAAAAAGATTGCAAAGAAAGATATTTAATAAATTTAATGTAAAATTACAAAATAATGCCATAAATTTTATTAATTAACGATGTAACTTACGGCTATGATGGTAAAACCGATGCAGCAGATGACCACGGTATTTGATAAAAACTGCATCAGCGCGATGTCGGAATAAAGCTCCTCGATATTATCTGAAAGGGTTATTATCTTTTGATGCCGAATAATCACTAGCTTGACACTTGTGACGATTGAATCACGCTGAGAAATTCCGTTGCCGCAAATTGTCAGTAATTCCCGGCGAAGAATATCGATCTGTCCGCTCACGTGAAGTACCTAAACGTGACTATTAATAGATTCCACAAAACGAACTCCCGCAAATTAATAATCTTTTTCAAAGTATCTAAATTTTAAATGCAAAATCAGAGAAAACAAAAGTCAGTCTTAATTATATGTTTTAATTAATGCTCGCAGAAGCACAAGCAAAAAGAGAAAAAAAAGATAGAGAAGAAAGTGAGGCTAATAAATCTCAAAAATAAAGAAATAAATTAAAAGAAATAATTAATTAAAGGAATAATCTTATTTTCATGGATCTTGATGATGAATAATAATCCTATACAAATTTTTTGCAAATAAATTTCAGTTTTATACATTATGCGTCGATTCGATTTATCGGACTTGAAACGCAATTATAAACTGCAATATCAATATCTCAAATTACATTGACTGTCAATTTAATAATGATGATAGTAAATAAACGTTTTAAAAATTTGAAGATTTATTTTCTCATAGATTTAATTTCTAATTATATATAAATCTTAAAAAGCTACTAATCATTCACGTGATCGGTTAAATTAAACTCACCAGCGTAATGATCAAGCAATTCATCATACCAACTAAAGTGGCGATTGACACTACATGAAGAATCTGACCGACCGCTAAAAGCTCAAAGAGAGGAGACACGTCAACTTTGAAGGGAAATTTCATCTTTACAGGCAGCACTCTCGAACTAATGTTCAGGTCCTCCTTAAAGTCGGTCGAGAGACGTAGAAAATTGGTTACGGAGTAGCAAATTGCGGCTGCAGCGTTAATGCTGATCAACACGTTCGAGCAACGACGTGACAAATTGGCATTACTCGTCATAATACACGATACCGATTTGTCGTAAACGTTGACGTTACTCCAATCTTCTTCCATCGTTAACACGATATCATAAAAAAGCCTGTAGAAAATCGCTTGCGTATTTTGCATCGAATAATCATCCTTGTTGTTTACATCAAGGAACTATTCCTACCTGCGGTTTAACCAGAGAGTGATCAACTTTAAAAAACCGAGACTATAAGCCAACGTAATGCTAAGCGCATCGACAAGATTCGAGATATTGTTGACGTCGAAGTGATCGAAGATGTACACATACTGAAAGTACAGCGCAAACACTAAGCTCATCATGTATGCAAACCAAGTGATGGTTCCGTACTGCAAACCCGGCCAGATTCCGACAAAGCGAAGTCCGATCTCGACGGAAGTGCTGATGGAAGTTGCGCGCATTATCTCGCATGGGATCGGACCACGTCGACGTTTTCTCGTCAAAGGCAAAACGATTATCGTGCGAACATCGCTACTCGAAATTAAGCATTGAGTTTCAACGAGCTATAACTCCGGTTGCCTATGCCAGGCAACAATATGTTGCCCCTTCGTCGATCGTTATCAATCAATTGCAATTACGCGCGCTCTTACCGTTCCTGATGCGACAAAAAAAGAAACGTTACATTTTTACGATGATTATGGGTTATTACAAAGAAGAAAGAGCATAATTCGAGCTACGTATTGAAAGTTACAAGGAGGAGGACGTAAGTTATTCATTTAACAAAAAAAAATGAGAGATCCGTTGAGCGCATGTGAACAATGCCAGACGCGTTGAAAGACTTGAGAAATACAAAAGCAAAGAAAAGGGTCGAGTGTTGTTAAAAGGAGACTTGAGAGGAGTTCTAAGCCGTTCATTATTGTTTTATAAACAAAAATAATATGGAATTATATCATATTGTCATGTTCATATGCTGCTTAGAAAAGATCAGAGGAGATAATCTACTATACATGTCAAAATATGAATGTCAACGTACGTAACATGCTATTTGCAAAAGTTTGTCAATCAAAAAGGATTATATGTATAAACTAAAAATATTATAAATAAAAGGAACAGTTTATTTTTTAATATATTGCAATAATATCGTTTACGTTTAACTCGTGTTCATAATTTCTTTTTTGCTAATATTGGAAGCACGTTAACGTTACTTGATAGTACCTAACTTATTTAAGAAAATAAGTTTTACTTTTTTAATAAATTATACAAAAAATAATATATTATTTTTTGTGTATATTATTGAGTTATTTTTTGTATATATGAATTTTATAATATTTTTTTTACTGTGTGATAATTATAATTACTACACATATTTTAAAAAGTAATCTTTATGCATGTGATCCACGATTTTCTGTGTCTTCTTATTAGTTTCATCAAATCGACGAGCAAATATAATCACTGATATCCGTATACAAGTTTATAATTTCTCAATGCATCGCATACAACGATATACATGACGCAGAAGCTTTTATAACTTGTATACGAAGAGACACTTTTCATTGTAAGTATCATATCGGATGTGTACATAGTTACGAAGGCTGCTGAATCGTTTGCATTATAAATTGTTTGCACAGTCAGCTTTGATATTTACCCGAGATGCGTTTAATATCCATGAGCAACATTTCGTATGTATGAGAATAAATCTTATGCCAGTGAATCTCTCCAAGGGAAGATCTATCACTTTTCGTCAATCTCTTTTGCTACCTCATAATCACAAATAGAAAGATCCGACTTTGACTGGACATTATATTATACTAGACTTGTATACAGCATCTGCAATCAATTTATTATTGTAAAAGAGAACCAAATGAGTTCTACAAATGTGGAACAAGAGCAAATACTTTTTTTTTTCTGAAAAAATTGTGTTTGATATAGATATGTTTATGTAAGAACAATTTAATTTATAAAGTTAAAAGCTTACAAAACTGTTACACAACAATTTATCAATTAGAAATAAAAGCGATTCGATAAAATATATAATATTTTAATAACACTAATTTTAATAACAGTTTGCAATAACACTAATAACCTTTGCTAAGATATTTCCCAGCAGAAATATAAAACAAACGTAATTATTTTGATATAAAATAAAACGATTTTTATTAATATTATTGCTTTTTGATTGTTATCAGTAACCTGTGAGAGTATAAATAAATAATACAAATCGATTATGCAATAGCAAAGCAAAATCATTAATATTTCATAAAACTATGACTTACTTAATATTTTGACTAACTATTTTAATTTAAAAATAAATAAAAGTTAATAATTTTTATTAAGTTTGTTATTATGTTGAAATATAATCATTATGTAGTGATTATTTATAAATTAAAAGAAACATTCACATAAGCCGACACTAGGTAGTTGTATGTACATTAATAAAATAAATCCGGGAAAAATCTTATACATAAACATATTTTATATATAATTATACATAGTTGTATATAAAATATGTCAATTTTACATATAATTATATATAATTTTATATATAATTTTGTATAATTATATATACTTATATTACATAAAACATTTTTTCCCGGAAAGTTATAAAATTTCGATTCTTAATTTTTGGGTCTTCTTCAATATAGTATTGACAAGTTAACAAATAATATTTATTTCATTTTACAATAAACTAATAAAATTGTCAAAATCATAAACACGAAATATTATCAAACTAGAAAACATTGATAATACATATAACGAGTAATATATATTATAATGATTATTACATAATGATTGTATCTCTACATAATAATAATGACAAACTTAAAAAAATTATAACTTTTATTTTTATTTAATTAAAATTATTTATTTAATTACTCAAAATTTGTAATTATCATTGTAAAATAAATTTTATCATAATAATAATCATGAATTATGAGATACCAATAACCAAAGGATTAAACATGAACTGCATCAGCATCAATTTAGAAGAGATTAAACATGAACTGCATCGGCATCAATTTTGATATATAGGACAAGCATGAGATATTTTAAGATGAGAATCTCTGGTAAAAGCTGAAAACTCTGATAGCTTTCTTTGGAAAGGTTAGAATCAAAATTTATATTATATGAATTTGACTGTTTAGAGAAAGAATCTATAAATATTGAATTAAAGTGATCTATTTTTAACACAGAAATTTAGAAAATAATCTTTAATTGCAACGCGAAAAAACTGATTAAAACTCGCTATGTAATGACTACAGAATTGATCATTAAATCCAAAGAGAAGAAGGTGATAAAACTCCTGGATCTTGCCATGATCTCAAAGATGAAGATTCATTAACCTCGAAAGTAATTTCATTTTGAAGGGAAGATCGAATTTGCTCTCATGAGGATCATTTTCATCCTTCGCGGAGCGAATCAGACTTCCGGGAGCGTAGAAAGCAATAGCTGAAGTGTTGATGAACTTTAAAATGTTTATTAAAGCAGATATGTGACAGATTAGCATAAATTATAAGCATATATACGAGCATTAGATGCATGCATTTGTGACTTGGTAGATAATGTACTTTCTCCAATCCCTGTTCATTGTTGCTAAAATCTTGAAAAGTTTTCTACGCAATATCACAAAAATATTTGATGTAGTAAAAAAGATACAACATAAACACATATGCAACGTAAACATACAGCAGTAAAAAACGAAAAGTGTCTAAAAATTCTGGAAGAAACATTATGCGAACGTTTTATGACATCTTTTATATTTACAAGTAGTTTGAGAAACAACTCTTATTGCTAAGTTGAATAAACATCAAATTGAAATATAAAAGGATATTAAAATATAAATTGTAGAAAGAATATTTTATAATAAGTAAAATCTTTGTTGTCAGAACGATTTAAAATATAAAGAATCAAATGAAAAAGAAATTATGATCATAATATTCTGTTTCTCTTAATTTATTATTTGACATAATTAATTTTATGGGAGGTATAATTTAAAGATAATGAAATAATTTTGAAACAAATAATATTGTTGCATCGCACGATATTTTGTTAGATCGAAGACAACGTGTCTTTCTAAATCATTCCTTTTATTAGTCTTATTATAAGCTTATTGGCGATTCAGCTACAGACTGACCAACTTCAAAAAGTTATACTACGTTGAAGTGATGCTCAAAGTGTCTATGAGAATTAAAAAATTATTTATCTTGAAGATATAAGTACATAAAGACGTTTTACCATAATAACGTCATGAAAATAAAAGAATCGTTAAAAATTGCAAAAAGCAACGAGTTACATGTCGATAAATTGGAATCCCATTTTGATAAAAACATTTTTGTTATGCATGTTATAATTAATCTCATGAAATTGTGTGTGTAATTCCCATGATACATGCTTTCCTAAATTATTGCTTGCCACCGATATGAGTAGACGATACGCGTTATGCATAAAACTTGTACGACGATTGATCCATTGTACATCGCGTGATGACAATAAGAGGACCAACTGATTACAGAGGGGGTCGGCGAAAGCTGGAACATCCATCGTTAATCGTATCAATCGATCAATCGTAATTATACGTATAACGACTCAAGCATTGGCCCTTCAAACATTATAACTTGAGGGGTAACAAACGATCAACAGGCTTCCCTTCGCGCTAGCGAACAATTTCCTTTAAAAATGTAGATCTTTCTTTGAACATGTGCTTGCATATTTTTATTCGTCGTATTACGTGTAATATCGTTGAAAAGAAACAATTGAAAAAAGCTTGAGGAAACTTTAAAGAAAAAATACAGATAGCAAAGAAAGGAACAAACGAAATGTACAAATAAGAAGTTAAGAGAATCTTAAAGTGAAGCCCAAATTCCAATAAAGTCACCAGAGATTGCTGTTTTTCCAGTGCATCGACATGTCTTTATATACTATCACACCAATATCTCACGCACCTATGATACACTCAGTTGCATGTCTGTGTCAATTATCATGCGATAAAGCGTCTAATTCTAAGAACTCAACGTTATTTGTTCATACAAAGTACGTGTTTGTGGATTACTATTTCGTAAGTACAGGTTGCAAAACTTTTGTATCAAGCAAATGTTGTCACGACTTGAGACGCCATGTTATACTAAGAAATGGTAAAAAATATATTAATTTCGAAAATTTTGGTCATTCTTGTCATAAACTCCATCTCACAAACACATATTAATGCGTATATTTTAATCCTGGAAAAGGATTTTTGAATCTGTAAAAGAGAAAAAAGTATTTGCTATACAAAAATTATATGATTTAATCAGTAATACAAATGGCTTTAGAAGCCTCTTAAAAATGTGGATTGTTTTTTCCATACATAATAAAACTTTAATATTTTTAATGTATAATATAAAAGAAAATTAAAGCTCTTTCTATTATTGTATTAAAATTGTATTATAATTGTATTAAAATTGTAACTTCAGTTAACATAACTTAACTTATAACAATTTAAAATAATATTATAGATATATAATAATTATATATTAATAAATTTAATAAATAAACTAGTATTTTTAATAACAAATTTGGTAAAGTAAAACTTTTCTGAATTAATCATACTATAATTTTTTGTTATTAATGCTTTTTTCTATTTTTAACATGTAAAACTTTAAGATTCAACTTCTAAGAGAACTTCTAGCTTAAGAGAAGATTGTCTCATAAATGTTATTGCGTTTTTCCATTGAATTTGGGATACGTATAGCCAATTGCGGATGACATAATGATGCTTAGCATAGAATGAGAACAAAAATATGAAATATTAGTTTTTATAATAATCACGCATAAATGCCGATCAACATTATTGCACTCGTCCAATCGTTTTCTTTTGTCGTCAAAATTTTGTACACTGCGATTTATGATTTAAAATGACCAGATATTTCAATACTCATATCTATGCAACTATAAATCCGGCGGTATCTGGAATATTTATTACTGACTTACTGTTAACAATATACAGTCCCTTTTGAACGATGGACACATAGCATTTACAATTATCTTTCGGCAACTCGAAATTTATTGTTAGGAGATGTGTGAGAATAGACAACTTAAAATTACGTTAACAACACATGAGAACACGAAGATCTACTATATTACCTATAGATCCTTAAACGATATGCTCCGCTGAAGTATCAATCAATCGATCCCAGTTACGAGCTGTATAGTCTAACAGTAATTCGGAATAGCTTATATTATCCGTCTGAGTATTCTATAATTTTACCAAAATGATATACTTTGCTATAAACTACAATGGATTTTGGAAGCAGAGAAACTTAAATCAACAGAATGTATTATAAAAATGTCATTACAACTACATGCAAGAAAATATATCAAGTTCTTCAATAAAAATTCAATAAATTTGATGTAAGTTACATATAAAAATAGATTTAAGTATTCAATAAATGAATAAAATAAAGAATGCAATTATTCGCATTTATGTTAACATTATTTTAAACAGCATAACTCTACAATCACAAACGTTATTTCAAAATATTAACAACTACTTTATTAACAACAAGTTAATAATTCCTTTGAATAGTTTACATTTTCTAAATCGTCTCATTATACTAACTTAAATAGTTTTAACAAATCACTTGCATTGATGTCAATACATCGCATACAAGACAGATACATATGATGCCGATGCCCGCATGATCTAAAATAAATGTATAAAATATTTTATTTTAATTTATGTGTATACATATATAAAGAATACATATCATAACGAATGCTAACATCAATTGTAAGCAAGATAAAGTTTTTATTTAAAAATTATTCATCAAAATAGTTACGAAATATTACATTCGTTAAAGCTTCGAATGACATATCCATCATCTTCCCTGCAGTGATTGACAATCGCCTTTGGGATTTCATTATCACGAATGATATAATTTTAGTCTGATTAATTGGCATATCATACCACAACGATTTATATGCTGCATCAGCGACTGATTTACTCTAAAAATAATGTAAATTATGTCAAAAACAACAGGGTAGTACTTTTCTCTCAATGCAAAGAATTCTTTTATCTGAAAAAAAGAGCTTTTTTCTAGTCTACTATACTATAATTCTGACTTTAGTAATAAAAATTGTAATAAAGGGATACATCATTTACATAAAATAAAGTTAGTATACATTCTTTAAATCTTTAATATAATAACTCCTCATAACAGGTATTATATTTACTGACCTTAAGACTAAGATATTCTCCGGCAAAGCAAATAATAAAGATTTCTATCATTACGGCAATATAAGCCACAGCAGCTTTCACAAACAAGTAGAAATCGATTTCATTATGAACCGACTGTTTTAATGTACAATAAAAGAGAATATATAACTTATATCGATATCAATAACAATATCGATATCATAACGTATTTATTGCAATACTTACAATTATAATAACGAATCCTAAGCAACAAATGACTAAAGTTTTGCAAACAACTTGCATCAATGCAATGAAGGAAAAAAGTTCCTCAATATTCTCGGAAAATGCGTAGACTTTGTTATGTCTTTTAATCAGCACTCTTAATGTAAATGCGGAAGATTGATAAGGAAAGGCATTTTCGGAAATATTTTTGAACTCTTGACATATTATATCAATTTGCCCGCTTACGTGAAGCACCTAAAATGTACTTAAATTGCTGCAAAGTTTCAAACAATATTTGTAAAAAATATTTTTAATGGCAAAATACATATTTGATGTAAATTTTCAATTGTTTATTTTTATGTGATATATTTAATTATTTAAGCATATTTTTTCCAAATATTTTTCAACATTTATCTTTATGTTTTTAAAGGAAATATTCTTACATAATAATCCTGCAATGTTGTATATACGAAAATGTCATATGTAATAACATATTAAGTGATACTTTTATGCAACAATGTTCTTGGATCTAACTCTCATGAGAGTGCCACAAATCCTTTTGTTAATTTTGATAAAATAGGAAAAAGTGAATTTAGAATACGAGACTTACCAAAGTAAAAATTAATCCATTTAAAACGGCGACTAATAACGAGACTAGTATTATATGTAGAAACATAATTGCGACCAGTAACTCAAAAATCGGCGACTGCTCAGTTTCGAAAGGAAGAAGCACCTTGATAGGAAGTTGCCGCAAGGTATCATTGTAATCTTTGGCTATATATACAAAACGAATTGCATAATCGCCCAAAACATACAACACTGCAGCTACACCATTAAAACTCAACATAGCATTAGAATAAAAATGAGATACAGTGGCTTTAATTGTCATCATATTCAAATGCTCATCGATGTTGATGCACTCGCGCCAGTCATTATCCATAGCAGCCAAGATTTTATGAAAAACACTGTAATGTATTATTAATTTGTCAAGTAACGAATGGAATATTATTCTATTCATGCCAGATCAATGCACTAATGATTCGAATGTAATATTGATGCATTCCACGTTAGTAAATGTTTGGATTTTTAAACTAAAAAATCTAGTTTTTCTATAATATCGGCGATTTGATATAAGATGTAATATTACATACGCGACACGTTGTCTTACCGACGATGTATCCATAGGCTGACCAATTTAACAAACGTCAAACTATAATCTAAAGTTAAAGATAAGCCATCGATAAGATTTGAGAACTCGCTGATCTTGAAGTGCTCAAGTATGTACAGATATTGAAAATACTGTATAATCAATATACTTGACATAAAAATCAGCCAATAAAAAATAGAATATGACACCTCCGGCCATACACCAAGCAGCCGAAGGCTGAATTTCAGCGCCGGACTAACCGTACTCTTGGCTACCATTCGTTGATAATTTAGAAAACGGAGGATGAAGATTAGCACATTTGTCTGCTGTGACTATGAAAGAACTGACAGGACAATAACAATTTTTCCAAGTGCATCCCCACGCACACGCGGTTTATCCCCACTCATGTGAATACGGACCAATCATCAATCGCAGTTATACATCCTATAACAACAATTTGAGGAAGAATAATTTGCATATTATCTTGTACGATTATTCTATATTCCTTGTACAATTTAATAATGTACCTTTACCATGAAATAACAAAAAATTATGCATTAAATCATTTCTTCCTGCTAATAATGCTACATTGTGAAAAAAAACGGACGTGCACCATTTTCTAGATGTCGTAATGATTGTTGAACGTAGGGCAGTTTGAAAGTTTATAATTACGGCTTAGGTATTCTCAGTAACGGAAATAAATTCGTGCATCGATCGTGAATTTTTACGAAGATAAGAAAGAAAAAACATCTTATATCCCTCTGTATTAAACTCTCACAACATAATGAAAAATAATTTCCTCTAATAACGTAAATATTGAATTTTCTCAGAATACATGTGTAAAGAAAACTTAAAAGACTAAAGTCAATTGGACGTCTTATAGAAGTTTGGTTATACAAATACAAACAAATAAATGTACTAACATAAACTGCACTGTTTAGATCTAGATAGAATAAAGTCTCGATAATTGTTACGTTCCTTGAAAAGCTAAATTGCTCTTTTTCTCTATTTGTCTTTCTCTTCTTTCTAAGTCAAGAAAATACAAAATTTTAAAATACAAAATTAAAGTTAAAGAAAAGACAGATATGAAGATTGAGATTTAAATCAACTTAAGTACAATTTTATATTGTCCATTTATAAATCTTAAAACAACATAAAAATTTAATACTATTATTTTATCAAAAATAATTTAATAATAACAATTCTTCATATTAACATTTTATATTAATAATACTAAATAATACTAAGATTTCAACAAATCACTGTTTGTGATGAACATCAATACATCGCGTGTAAAACAGATATAGTGATGCTGATAATTTTAAAATCTAAAAAGGATTTTTTAAATTATTTTACAAACTTGTATTTTTTATGAATGTCAAAAAGGTTTATATAATAAAAGAAGTCATATCTGAAATAAATAGTTAATCAATTTTCATATTAAATTTAAAATAACATTTGACTTATTGTACATTTAGAATATATACTTATTATTATTATTATTATTAAGGGCGCCAAATTTAAATTTTTACTTTAATTACACGCTTAAGTGACGATCAAGGCATGTGCAAGTGTGAGTAGCATTAAGACCTCTATTTTTGAAAAGAAACATATACGAAAAATTAGGAAATATACGTTACGTATACTATAGTATTTCCCTAATTTTTCGTACATATTTTTAAGAATAGAAGCCCGAGTAAAGTTTCGTAATGTGTACTCTCTTGAAAAAATTGATAAACTTACTAACGCAAAGTTTGATAAAAGTTACAGACATAAGCAAAGATTATCTAATGTGGGACAATTCATAATTGTTAAATTTCTTATTAAGAAAGGAGTAAAACTCTTGAAAATATGCATTTTAAAATAAAGGCAATGTCTCACTCTGTAATGCATTAATCAGCACAAACAGCAATTCGGTTAGCATTCTCTGCCGTTGTCAGTCTTGAGTGTCAAGGATGCGGTTTATTCTGAACACATTGTCGATCTTCTTCGAAAATCTTGCTTCATATATGAATGCTTCTATCCAAACATTCCCTCGTCATGTGCTTTTATCCTTACATATTTCCGAAGATTTGTTTCTTGTTTAATAAGAAATTCAATTATTATGTATTGTTCCACATTTAAATTTCTTTTTCGCTCATATCTGCTTTTACTGAACGTCGCACTAATAAATTACCAATTTTTTCAAGAAAGCATACATTCCAGAACATGATATGATGCAGACCGCACCCGCATCTGCACATACTGACATCACATACTGCCGTTAAACAACATTTATTTAAATAAAAATAATATTTATAAGGTGATTTACTAGAGTAGAAATTAAAGCGTCGAAATAGTAAGCGTCCACGCATTTAACATTGCTTGTAGAAATAGAATTATGATCAGCAGTTTAAAAATTGGTGAATGTTGAGTTTCAAAGAGAAATTGTACCTTAATGAGAAGCTGCTGCAAAATATCATTATAATCTCCGAGCAGATATACAAAATGAATTGCGTAACCATAACTCAAAAAGTACAACACCGTACCAATTGTATTAATGCTAAACATAATATATATATTAGAACGAAAATGCAATAAATTTAATTGTCATTATATACAAATATTGATTAATATAGATGCAATTTTGCCAATCATTAATCATAGCGGTTAAAAGCTGATAAATGACAATTCTATAATGTGTTATTCTAATTGATATCAAGACAGAAATGATATCACCTATGCAAGGCTTTATACTCGTAAATCGTTAGTATCGTTTATAAGAGACCGTATTACTCGAATTAAAGTTTAAGATTATATAGATTTAAGACACGTTTCGTTTATAGAAGATCTCTAACCGATTAAATATATAATAAAAAAACTAATACTAACTTAATATTTCTTATATATCAAACAAGACAAGATTAGATGAAGCTAAAGTTGCAGCAATGTCTTCGGCATCGTATTCAAAGACTGATTAGTTTGAAAATTGTTGTAAGCTGCAATCTAAAGCCGCGGGTAAACTATCAACGAAATTCGAAAGCTCGTTGATCTTGAAGTGCTCGAATACAATATTGGAAGAACTGTACAATCAGCATGCTAAATATATAAATTAACCAATATGCAATACGATACATCCGAACACACACAAAGCTGGGTCTTCAACGACTCACAATACTTATTACTATCATTTCTAATCAATATTGAGAACACGAGGAAATGAAGATCAGTATCGGCACATTTATTTGGCACTCCGGTTTAAGAAAGAACTGAACGAACGCACTGACAGTTTTTCCAAATGCAACTCTATGCAGTCTATGCTCATTCTCGTAAATATAATCAATCGTCATTATACATATATGGTGTATAACAGCAAATAGAGATAGAGCTCATTTGTTTATGCACATCCCATAATTTTTTGTTTATAGTCTAAGAACGCTAATATTCTAATATCCATAAAATAACAAAGATATCGGACTTGTCCGACAAATTTATGATTCGATGCGTAATTGTCAATTCTGTTTTTTTACGAACTTGTATCTTAACAACACTTCTTCGAAAAATAAATAAATATCTATTATGTTCTGTATATACACAGCAAAAGTCATTAAACTTATAGTAGAATGACAATAATTATATATATTCTATGTAAATGAAACTGATTTATATTCGTGCAATTTTCAAAGAAATAAAATGAAGAGAGAACAATAGAATATAGGGATAAAATGACAAATATCCTTTAATGCTTCTAATAGTAAGAATAATATTATGCATCTTTACCTAAAAAAGATATTTTAAAATTAAAAAAAATTGTTTAGTTGAAATCATAAACATTTAGTTTCAAATACGCCTATATCCAACAGAATATATGTCTATACATACTGAATGCATAACTTGTTAATAAAGAGTCAATGTCCGAAAACATCCGACGCTCTCCGCAGAAATATTCTTTTTCCTGAAATAAAATTTAAGTGTTAAATCAATAGTCACAAATACATTGTTGCCTTTTTCTGTAATTTTGATTGATTTTTTTCGCTTTGTATTGCGAAAGTAACTCAACACATGATTTGACAACTCACAAAAAATTAGATTATTATAAGTGTGTAAGTATATAATATTAAAAATTAAATTAAAAATTACTGATCTGTGTTGTTTAATAATACTAAGTAAACAAAAATTATTTAATGTCATTTTTTTACATTAAAGATAATTTTTTAAATAATTTATTTATTAGCAATTAGTAAATAACAGATATTAACTGTTAATAAAAATTTAATTCTAAATAATTTAAAATTAATATAAATATATAAACGCTCGATAAAAGTAAAATTCAAAAATTAACAGAACAAGGACTTAAAGAGTATATAAACAATAACAAACGTTTCGAATTGTTAAAAAGTTATCCCCATTGTCAGTGTCACAATTAAAAATTTAAGTGATATTAATCATATGTAGCCAACACACATTTAATTGTTAATCAAAGAATTCTAAAAGATTATAATTTTTATAACTCTTTTATTTTCGTCTGTTACATATATTTAATAGTATTTAAACTTTTAATTGTAATATTAAGCATTTTTATTAAAAGTGTGAAACGTTTGTTATATGCTTAGACATTAAATTATTCATTTAAGCAAAAAAAAATATTTAGCTTTGCCCTTTAATCTTTGTTCTGTTGATTTTTTAATATAATTTAATTCTAAATTAAGTAACATTTTTTATTTATTGACTTACACTAATTTTATTACTATTTTAACAAATGTCTACCATAATTTTATTTGAGTCAATATAAAGCATTTATGACAGATATATTTATATGATACTGACGTTTTTATGACCTAAAAAAGTAGAAATAAGAAGATAATGTTTGATCTACAAATTATATTTATGCATACAAATATAAATAGCAGGTTGATTATAAACAAATTAAAATAATGTTCTAAAAATTAAATGTTCAACAATTTTTAAAATTACGTTTGTATAAGTTTCGAATGACATATCCATCATTTTTCCTGCCGATATGGTCAGTTCCTTCTTAGATCTCATTATTATTAGTATTAATATTTTACTCTGATGTGACGGTATATCATACCACGGCAATTCGTATGCTGCATTGACAATTGATTTACTCTAAAAGCAAAAATAGATAAAAGCAATGGCTTCTTGCATGTTATATATATTTATACTACTTATTTAACAGATAAAGGTTTTCTTCAATTCCTAATATCAAAAAAATTCTATAAAGATTAAAAAATAAAGAAACAAAGAATAACAGAAAAAATATAATATATAATATGAATAAACAAGCATAATATTAAAAATATTTTATTTGTCTTTTACCTTTTGAATATAGAAAATCACATAATAAAATGTAAAACAATACATTGAGATTATAGCAATTTTTTGTTTTAGCAAAGACTACTAGAGATATCGGTATTATATTTAAAAGATGTTATAATATTTTTCTAAAGTAAAAATAATATTTATTAAAAACATATTTATTTTAAATAATATTTGTACATTACAATATTAAATATACTAAAATATTATACATTATTGTAAAGAAAAAATGCCACGTAATTTTATCACATAATTATATAAAATATAATTATGTAAAATTAAAAAAGGTTATATTTATGATCTACAACTTCTTACATAAATACTTACTTTGTAATTAAGATGTTCTCCAGTAAAACAAATAATAAAAACTTCAATCAATATGAGAGCAACAGCAAAAATGGTTTTTGTTACCACAAAAACACCCATTTCGTTATGAATACTCTAATTCAATGAACATGAAAAAGAATGATATATACGATGTCAATTAATGCCCATGTATTGTAGAACTTACAATTATGGCGAAAAATCCTAGACCGCAGGTAATTAAAGTATCCAAAACAACTTGCATCAGCGCAATAAATGAGATAAGTTTTTCAATGTTTTTATAAAATTATATAATTCTATTATGTCTCTCGATCAATATTTTAAATAAAGATACGGTAAATTCATGAAGAGAAATACTTTTAGAAATATTTTTAAACTCATGACACATTATATCAATTTGTCCACTAACATCTAGTACCTAAAATATACTTTAATTTTTGCAAAAATCATAATTATTGCATATGAAAGAGATATTTGTGCTATAGTGAACAATGTGAACATGTTTCAAATACAAGAAATATTTTTACATAATATATTTATACACTTGAAGAAAGTCTTCTCAAAAATTATTTATAGAATTTTTCGGACACATTAATTATATTTTTAAATTAGGAAGGTAACAATCCTTAAGATAAATGTACTAGTTAGTTTCCTCTAAAAGTAAATCAGTATAATATATTATTATTAAAGAACAGATAAATAATCTCGAACTATAATAATTATAATTATAGCAATTATAAATCTATTGTAAACCAGTAAAATTTCACTGAAAGCGTTAATTAGTAATATTAACTATTTCAATCAATAATATTAGATAACTAGAAACAGTGACTTTAAATTACAAAATAATAAAATAAAAAATATAAGTTATTAATAATGTATAATATAAATATTGTGCAATATCTGATTTAAATAATTTTTCAATTATTTCCAATAATTATTTCAATAATTTTTTCACGAACCTAATCATATATTTTCATTAAAAAATATCCCAATTAACACCAACTAGCAATAATAATCTTACTATTAAAATTTTTTACTTAACAATTTAATATGCATAGCATTCAAAATATATGTTAAAGTTAACGATTATATATTATTGAAATAAAAATTATTAATATTAAGGTTATATTACTGTTGGTTGATGTTTGTTGAATATGTGTACTGAACTAAATCGTGGCAAAATACGCAAAATACTTGATTTTCACAAGTAGCACTTAATAAATAGCGAATGTATAATGAATTCAAAAATTCAAACGGAAGACGGTACATATATTTACGGTCCGTTGAATAATCAGCCATAAATAACAACGCATGACTTTTATGTGCGTGCCTATTCCCTGTGACCAATAAATTGCTGATTTTATAATAAAATTTTATTTTTACTGATTATAATGAAATATAAAATTGTGGAAAAAATGTAGGTATTTATATTTAAGATAAATAAAATGCTTTTTGAATACCCACTATTAGCGAAATCTTATTTTACTGTTTATATTAATGATATATTTTCATAGTTTACTTTTACGCGGTGAACATAATCCAATTATTGAACAAAATGGCAAATATTTTAAATATTAAGCTTTTAATGAAATTTTATATGTAACTATAAATCAGTTTATTATCAAATTTTTATAAACAACGAATTTATTTAGAGTTGTCCATATAATTAAAAACTCAATATTTAAAATTTTTGTTATTTTGTCCAATAATTGGATTATGTTGATTAATTATTCAGTAACTAGTGCATTTAGCTTATATAATAGTTATATTAAAAGTTCTAGAAATTACAACGTAAAATATTATTACAACCGGTTCACTGTAGTAATAAATAAGTTTTAATTCTGTATCATAAATTTCCTTATCACATAAAAATTAATAAAAAATGAATATATACATATAAAATATAATAATTACCAATGTAGGAATCAATCCATTTACAATAGAAACCATATAGACAAATATTATTATACTATGTAAAAATAATGTCACAAAAACAATCTCAAATATTGGCGATTGTTGAGTATCAAAGGGAAGTTGAATCTTCATAGGAAGCGGCCGTAAAATGTCATTTTAATCTTCAGTTAAAAATACGGAATGAATTATGTACTCGCCTAAGAAAAAAGGTATCGCAATAATCGTACTAACACTCAATATACTGTTGGAAATAAAATGTGCTAAATTGGCTTTAATTGTCATTATATACAAATGTTTATCCATATTGATGCACTCGCGCCAATCATTATCCATAGCAACCAGGACTTGATGAAAAACTCTGCAATTTTTTTAATCTATTAAATATTTTAAATAGAAAAATCGCATCTTTTTTCGCGAGACCATCAATATTGTGTTTAATACTCAAGCTAAAGTTTAGATAATGATATTAAATCATTTTTGTTTACAAAAAACCAAATCAACAATATGTTATAAAACTGAGAAAAAAAATTATTTTTTTCTCACGGAATTAAATCAAGTTGAGCAAAGTTAAATTTCATAGTGTAATAGGAATATCTTACTAACGACGTATCCACAGATAAATCAATTTAAATACTGTCAAACCATATGTAAAAGTTAAATTCAAACTGTCATTGAGATTCGAAATCTCACTGATCTTGAAGTGTTTAAAAATGTACAAATACTGAAAGTACTGTATGATCAGTATGCTTGATATAATACTCATACTGTAAATGGTAGAATACGAGACACCCGGCCAAATGCCGAATAATTGGAAACCAATTTTCAGCATTGGGCTGACAGTACTTCTGATTATCATTTGTCAATAGTTTTTAATACGTAAGAAAATAAAGATCTGTGTTTGCACATTCGTTTGATTCTTTAGATAAGAAGTAAATGAAACAGTATAGCGCTCATTTCTCAAAGTATATCCCCACTCAGTGCATTTCTACGTAAATAGGATCAATCATCATGTATTGCATAGTATAACAGCAAATGCAGATAGAGCTACTTTTTTTTATGGACATGTAATTTTCTATTGATAGTCTAACAACGTAAATCACTCGTAAAATAATAAAGATATCTAAGTCGAACTATTGACAAACTCTATGCGCGCGCGTAATTGTCAGTTCCTTTTTCTTATAAACTTATCTCTTAGCAACGTATTTCCATAGAAAAAAAAAAAACATCCTACAGTCTACATGCACATTGCAAAAATTGTTAAACGTACAGCAGAACAACATATGATAATTATACATTAGGTATTCTAAGCGAATGGAACTGAATTATATTCGTGTAATTCGACTTCTGATCTTCAAAGAAATAATGTGAAAGAAGAACGCAACAGATGGGCAAAATGACAAATAATATAATTCTTAGTGCTTCTAGGAATGTTATTATGCATTCTTGCTTATGAAAGATATTTCAAAATTAAAAATTATTCAATTGGAAATGTTATAAATATTTAGTTAGGAAAAATATTCCTACATACTTCAACGTCATATGTTTATACATAAAAGAAATATATAATTTTTAATAAAGAATCAATGCCCAAAAAATCCGATGGTCTTCTCAAAAAACCTTTTAAAAAAAAGTGTATATAATGTAATATAGTAACAATATACATAAATAAAATTATTTACAACTTTTATATTAATTATTTTATATTAAATATAACTTTTAATTTATTCATAAATAACTAATGAATAACAAATAATAATTGTTAATATCAATTTAATTCTAAATTTATTATCAACACTCTATTACTCATTAACTTAAGGCTAATGCCCGATGCTAGAAATCGATGCGAGAACAGAAAAAAAATTAATAATTTGAACAATTTGATCACATGATCAATGCAATTGGTCAAATTTTTTTTATCCGAGGTCTCAAACCGATTTCTAGCAAGGTGGACGTTAGGCCTTACACTAATTTTTATTTTAACAGATGTTCATCGTATTTTTGTTCGAATTATATAAAGCATTCATGACAAATACATACGATATTGATGTTTTTATGATCTAAAGATGATCCTACATGGTTATAATACAATAAAACTGGTCAGTAATATTGAATCAGTAATACTGACAATATGCATCAAGATTTTTAGTATTTTTATAATTTTACACCATCAATGTTATTAACAATATATCCTCAGTTTTACGAACATTATCTATTGCACTGTGACATATTGTGACATTAATCCTAATAAAGTGACACTGATGCTCGAGAATCAAAATCCAGATCACTGTCAGTATTCTTTGTCAATCCATCAATATTAACGCACGATCAGTCATTTTGTCAATATTTTTTAATACTGACAGTATTATTTACTGTGTAAGGTTATCTTAAAAAAGATAGTAGTAAAAATAATGAAGTGTGGTCTATAATTTATTTTTATGTGTAAAAACATGTATAGCAAATTGATTATAAGTAAGATAAAATAATTTTTTAAAAATTAAATGTTTAAAAATTTTAAAAATTACATTCGTAAAAGTTTCGAATGACATATCCATCATTTTTTCTGCCGTTATGGCCAGTTGCTCTGAAATCTCTGATGAGAACTAAAAAATAAAATTTAGTAAACTAAATTTTACATATAAAAATAATTTTAAAAATTAAATTTTATTTTTCACGTCAATACTGACGTCACATACCGTTAAACAACTTGTTTAAATACTAATAATTAATACTTATAAGATGAGACTTATTAGAATAAAAATACGTTTAGAGATCGTGAACGCACTTAATATCACAATTAAAAATAGAGTTACGACCAGCAGCTCAAAAATTAGCAATTGTTGAATTTTAAAGAAAAACTGAGAAGTCTGCTGTAAAGTATCAATCTTCAGATAGATATACAAAACAAATTACGTAACTGCCCCAAAGATAAAATGCTAAAACAGTTATTTTAACACTAAACATAACATTAGAATGAAAATGCGATATATTAGCTTTGATTGTTATTACATATGTAAATGTAGATCAATATAGACGCACTCTCACCAATAATTATCCATAGCGGTTAGAAGCTGATGTATGACTCTGTAATGTGTTACCCTAGTTGGACAGATTTCAGGGCAGATATAGGGTATCTATTCAAAGCTTTATAAATTGTTGATACTGTTTATACGAGACTCTATTAGAATTAAGGTTTAGGACTAGATAAAATTAATATATGTTTTGTTTATAAAGAAATTGTTTATAAAGAAAAAAAATCGGATATAGTTTATTGACTGTTTGAATTTTAGATAAAAAATCTACAAACATTGGATTAAAATGACTTTTACTAACACAGAAACTTAAAAAGTAATTTTTAACTACATGACGCAAAAAAACTGATTGAAATTCATCCATGTAATGATTAGAGAATTGATCGTTACGATCACAATCAAAAAGAAGAAAATGAAGAAACTGCTACCATGATCTCAAAGATGGAGATTCATTAACCTTGAAAGGTAATCTCATTTTAAAGGGAAAATCGAATCTGCTCTCGTGAGAATTATTTTCATCCTTTGCGGAGTGAATGAAACTGTCAAGACCGTAAGAAGCAACAGCTAATGCGCTGGCGCTGATGAGCAAATTAAAATGTTAAAACATCAACATGACAGATTAGCATAAATTATAAGAATATATGCGAGCATTAGATATATATATATATCCGAAGCAGTAACGTACTCTCTCAAATGGTTTATTATTGCTTATATATAAAATTTTATACACAAATTTCACAAGTAGTATTTGATAAGAAAGGCACATAATATGCGCAAAGTAAACATCACAAAAGTATGAGAAGTGTCTAAATGAAAAATTTAAAAAATACGCTGTGTGAACGTTTTAAGACATCTTTTACAAGTTATTTGAGAAAAAAACTTACAAGTTGAATAAACATCAAATTTGAAATATAAAAGAACATTAAAATATAAACATTGTAAAAAAAATTGAATAGTATTATTAGTATTTATTTTTATTTACTAAATCATCTAATCAGACATTTAGATATAGAAAAATATACAATAGCAGTATATATTCACTCAATTGTTGATGTTGGTGAACACGGCTATTAGAAACGCTATTACTAACAGCGAAAGAAAATACTTCTCCGCGCTGAACAGATATGCACAGATATTCGGCGATTTTTAAAAATTAATCTCTAAATATTACAAAAATTGTAAAATAATAGACAACTCAATTTAGTTTGTTCTAGCTGTTCATGTTATTCTTGAACACACTGTATATATATATATATATATA